TTTGATAACTTTCAAAATGCGTTTTGGTATTTCCCTTTTCCCATCATTTTTCACTAATTATTCATTCAAATATTTCTTTTTTTCATTACTCCAATTCCTCATTTTTTCCAATAATCTGTATGAATGATTGATTGCATCAAATCTCATTTCAATGCTTAGAAAAATGAAACATTTTACTGAGAGTAAATAATTCATATAGATACATAAAATAATTTAATTTTTCACTTACAGTTTTAATAACAATTTTATTTCTCCAGCAAAATTTTTCGACGTGAAAACATTTGTGTCCTTGAATTATTATCTAACAGCAAATATGTTTTATAACAAGCATTTATCGAATGTATGCGATCGGATATATTCGGAACAACTCGTTAACATTCGGCTCGGGTGCCTAAATCAGAGTGATACATTCAGATCAGAATCGTCCATAATAGGATAGCTCGTGTTGTTAGGAATAGCCATTTTTATTCAACGAAAAATAATTACAGCATATGGAAGAGAACACTGTTGCCATTTATCGTTGATGAGTATACTAGGAGGGCTATCTCTGATTCGTTAAATGCAACAGTGTGTTTCATTTGACGTTTTATTTGACGATCACTGCAATTCACATTTTATGATGACTAAATATGAGTTTTCAAACAACTGGGACATAACTGCAAATGAAATCATCACAATGCCACAATGCTTTATAGATTTAATTAATCAGATTTCAATATATTAATATAAACAAGTCCTCGTAATAAATAAATCAAACTTCCAACTAATACAATATTCAATTTAAATTACATTACAATAATATGAAAGTTTAGATGGATGTTTACTCAATCTATGTTACTCAATCATTCCAAAACGGCGTAACGCATGTGTATAATATTTTAAACAGAGATAGATTATAGTCTGGAATACCAAATAGGCTACTTTTTATCACGGAAACTGCACGGTTCCCGTGGGATAGCCAGTGAAGCCACGGATGTTCGCTAGTATTTTATTATGTGAACGTTTAGATGTTTAGATAGATGTTTGTTACTTATTCGCTCCAAAATAACTGTACAGATATCGATGAAATTGTGAAATTGTCACGAATATTGATTTTTGCCTGAATAACATATAAAATACTTTCAAATTCAAAAAATTGCAAAGTTCTTGTGGGAAATAATATAATATTCCACTCGGGTGAAATCCTTAGTAACAAAAATTAGTAGCTCATTTGAAAATGGAATTAAATTTGTTTCGTCTTAGGGTAACAATAGCGTGAAATACGTAATATTTAGCTTCAAATCTATTTTATTATTCAGTCATTAATTCATAAGTACATATCATCAGGGGAAATGCTGGAAGCTCGTGAAATGTGAGTGAAATATTCTCTCCCCCTATATTCATTCGCTTTGCGTTCTATACAAATGAAATTTTAAGAGCGGGGGTTTAGAATGTGATGGTTATACTTCGTTAAATTGAGCCTTCATATTCTGGCAGCGATCTAGCGCGAGAAGGAAAATCTTAAGTATGAATAAATAATAAGGCATTTTGGAATAACCCACGTGAAACTCTATCTAAGTGCGTTATCTAAAGTAACTATGATATTAGTTTATCTACTATAAATATCAAGTTATGGAATAGATAGAGGTATGTAGATTAAAGTAATAATAAAATCTAGAATAATTTTTCTTTTTCATAAAAAACCAATGTTTTTTAACAATGACTCTTAAAATGTATCTACCTGAACAGAAAAACTCAAAATAGCTATTTAAAACTATATAGTGATAATATACATACGAGAGTGGGGTGAAAAGTAACCAGCCTGACTAAGAAAAACGATGTGTAGGGAGGATGCGGCATCAATTCAAACTACAATTCGTGGATTTTGGACATGGCAACAATCGACGAATGCGTTGGTGCCTTATCGTTATGAAACAACTTTTTTTTCTTCCCCAAATGAGGTCGTTTAATTTGCACATCGTTCTTCAAACGTTGCAAAAAGTCTGCGTAGTATTGACCAGGAATAGTCTAACCATCTTCCAGATAATCAAAGTATATAATTCCTCTCGCATTCCAAAAAACGGTAGCAATAACCTTTTTGCCGATAAAATTGATTTTGCCACTTTGGAGTTGTTTTTCCCTTCTCAAACCCTTTGTTTTCACTGTTCTTTATTTTCAGGTGTGTAGTGGTGAACCCAAGTCTCATCAACCGTTATTGATCGACGCAAAAATTCGTTTGGATTACGCCTATACAGGGCCAAATTTTCGGTAAGAATTGTTATTTCGAATCAGTTTTTGGTAGAGCGTTAGCAAAAGCGGCACCCATCGTGCACACAGCTTTTCCATGCTGAATGTTTGTGCAAAATATTTCGCATGCGTTCTTCTGACATCCTACAGGTTTCAGCTATCTCATGCACTTTCAATCTGCGGTCTTCTAATACTATTTCATGGATTTTCTCAATCATTTCTGAAGTTGTGACCTCAACTGGCCGTTCTGAGCGAGGCTCGTCAGAGGTCCTCACACTACCCATTTTGAATTCAGAAACCCACTGCTTAATAGTTGAATATGATAGGGAGTAGTCTCCTATTGTTGAATCCACCTCTTCTTTTATTTTTTTTGGTGTGAAACCTTTCAAATATAAGTATTTGATAACAGCACGTTTCTCCAATTTTTCCATTTTAACGAAAAAAATTGAAGCCTCTCGCTCAATGTGCTCTCAAACGCAAACTAACGTAGCGATTTGGCTGAAACTGTGCATACCAGCTCAGTAGGAATGGTGATGTAGGACGTCGCTCCAAAACTGGACCTAGTGGCGCCATCTCTTGGTCAGGCATACTTTTCACCACACCCTCATATATAAAAAAGCAAATATTTTTCACCATTTTATCCCGAAAGGAACAAAGTGATGCTACAAAAAATATTAAAATTAAAATTATACCTATCTGATATTGTATCTACCCTAGAACAAGGCAAACTCATTTTAATTGTAACTTTGTCGAGAGATAACCATTTATTTGGTACATCCCCCTTTGTCTCACTAGTACTCCGAGTAACTACGTACTTTTAGTAGATTTATTTTAGTGGAAATTTATTCAAAAAGGTCAAATATCATAATTTTAATTGAAAACGAATCCCAAATACACATGACATAAATAAATATGCCAAAAGCATGAATTTATTTTATTTTTTTGATTTGTTTCCTTTAGATCTCCCCCTCTGGTTTAAAATCACCAATGTGTAATTTTTGGCTAGTAAAAATGTATTAAAAGAAGTCCAAATAACATAACTTTGTTAGAAAATAATAATCAAGTAGATATATACATTAAATAAATTAAAATGTTAAAATAAATAATTTATTTTAACTTGTTGACTTGTCCAACGCAAATTCTTTATTACCTACCTTTTCTTTGCGACGTCAAAACTCAAAGTATTTCCAAGTATGTATTATTGTTTTTTGAATAATTTCCATTTCTTGAAAATAAGTACTCCAAAACCAGAAATTTTGTTTAATACTAAGAAGCAAATACATATCAAATAAAATTGCAAAAATGATGAATTTATTTTATTTTCCTGGCTTGTCCTTAGTGTCATCTTCATGCGATGCCCCCCTCTTTAGCTACAAGTACCCCCCAGGGTGTTTTTATCGCCTAATGAGAATTCATGAAAAGAATCTAAATAATATATGTTCTGTTGGAAACGTAAAAAACATAAAATGAATAAATGAAACTGCAGAAACGATAAATTTATCGTCCTTTTTTGATTTGTTGAACGCAAAAGTGAAAACCTGACTCTTAACATAATTTCTATAACCCTTGAAATTGCTTGAAGAATATTCCATTAATCACTGGTTGATTTTGCAGGAATAAAAACTAGAAATTAATCCAAATAGGAATGGTAACAACTTAAAATCGATAAAATGCCTAATTAATAACACAATTTTAAATGAATAATATAAATTTCATTGATATCAAATAATTATATATCAGTGTTTCCCAACTTCTTTTGTGCCATGTCCCACCTTAGCCTTTCTAAAATTCCTATGCCCCCTCGAAAAGGAAGAAAAAGTTTAAATTAATAAATGCGAAGGATTAAACTGAAGAAGTCCATTTTCGAATTGCCCTCATAACAATCAAATTGCCCCCTGTGGGGTGTAGGTCCCACGTTGGAAAACACTGCTCTATATTAATAATGTTAATCTATGTCATCATTCATGTTTTATTGTAGAATGGTCCCAAAATTTTATTCACCTAATTGTTAGGGCTAAGACGTCCCTGTACTAGCAGTTGGAGAAAAAGAGATAAAGCATTGGGCAATATCAATTAAACACACATAACAGACATTCCAATAAATTATTAGTTATCTTAAATATGTTTGATCACTTTGATAATGCCGACTCTAAATTGAAAAGGGATTTGATTATTTTCTCTATTATTCATTTCAAACTATTAGTCTTAGTAATAGATTGTTTATGTAATTCTCCGGGCTAAAAATGAACTCTACTTTCAATTTAATTAGAAGATATGCTTTCAGTTATTTTATTGCTCAGGAAAGTTCTGTAAAACATTCCATAATTAAAAACAAGGAATTAAGAAACTATGGAATTTATCGTATTCCAGCAAAATGGAAGGAATTAAAATAAAGAAAATAAAATAATTTTGTAGAAGCTCGAAAAAAGTTGTCTTCTCTACACTTTTAATTCCGTTAAATTTCCATTAGAAGAACCAATAGAATTTTATACTGATACTGATATTTGTAATACCAGTTGAATTCCACAAATTGCACCTTTTTATATCTGTACTGTCACATTTTTGCAGCTATGGAGAAAAACTGATCGCATCATGGTCACATTTGACATCTGTCTCAAAGCATTTATAGTTTTTTTACTATTTCCTTAGCATTTCTTCCAGGTTCTTGACTATCCTATGTTTTTATGTTTTTTTTATAATTCAGTGGACTTACTGTTTGAAATCATTGTACATTAACTAACAAGTATCATCATTAAACTTCGAAAAACATCCAATGGCTTCACTGGGGTTCGAACCCAAATCTTACCGCACCACAGTTGAGTGTTTTACCGACTAAGCTACGGAGGCAAATTTATTTTCATGTATATATTTTGACTCATATTATTTTACAAATATTAAATATAAAATATTTAATATTACATTTTTATATTTAAATATAAATATAAAATATTAATTATTTCTATATTATTTGTTCTTAGTTCGGCTCAATCGATATCGCATCTTTTATATTTTTCGGTTTATTCCATTAAATATTGAGGTGAAGATCCAAGAATGAAAAATGATAACGGAAGACATGGAATCAAGAAATAAAAGACATACAGAGGGATTTATTGGTTGCTAGATTAATTGTAGTGCAGGTATACGAAAAATGGCCTACTAGCTTTCCATACTTATAGTCCCTAGACCATTTTGTACGGGGAAATCAAGAATTGTTTGTTCCACATGGACATTGATTTATATTTTCCAACAAGTGTATCATAATTTAAATCTAGTATCTTACCTTAGAATAGAGTTTAATATTCTCAGTACTATTGTAGTACCTATACATGAATGTATACTTTTTCATATTGTTAAGATAAATACTATTTTTAAAAATTCCTCAGCTCACCGAGTAATTTTTGTGTGGAATTATGATAAGATAATAATATTATTAGTGTGGTTTAAGAAATCAAGTTGTTTCTGACTTACGTACATTGAAACAGACTATGTACTTGATTTATCGAAGAATTACTTGGACGATTTAATATTGGAATTTGTTTGCAATTAAATGTTCCATATGTATGGAATGAAAGACTTCCATTTATTTTTTCATTTATTGATATGTATTAATGTAAACATGTGATTAACTCTAGATATTCTTCATCTTTAATTCATTTCAACAATTTATTCAATTTTATATTGCGAATTTCCGCAAGGTGTGTCTTCTTTGAAAAATATATACCTACTACAGGTGAATAAAATATAAAATGATAATGCTAAAATAAAACATTAAAATTATAGCTTATCCACTATATTTGATTTCCAATTGAAAAATTAAAAGACTTCCTTTTATTTAATTTATATCAATACCAATGGAGTAGTGATATAAATATCAAATATTTATTTAGACCATTATTAACTTAACCTTTACGATGTATTTGCTCAATTTAAGTGGAATAGAAACACTTCTATGATATGGATTCGATAGTTTTTATGAATGAAGAGTTCCCAATATGTCTTATAAAATATAAAAAGTAAATTTGACAAGGAATAGATGCTGATATTTAAATTGAAATAGAATGAATTACTGGAGTTTCTTCCCTATGATCTTTTCAAATTAAAGACAACCGTGATATAAACAAAAAATTCAATATCGGTTTCAAACTACTCCAAGACCAAGTACATTCAATTTTCTGTGACAAATTACAGAAAACGGCGATTCTGAATCCGACGATTTCAAATTACATCTCCACTTGTTTCGCTTTGGTGGCATTAAAAGTCGTTAAAAGTCAAGTCATGTGATTGCATCGTTGCCAGACGTCCCGATCTTAGCTGAATTGAATTACCTGGAGGTGCACTGCACAGTTTCTAAAAAATTATGACAAAATGTGTTGTTTAAAGTAGGTAATGTCTTTTTATCAAGTACATTTTCCAATATCAATTTGGTTTTCCTGGAGTTCTTCATCTACTTATATTAGGAATATGAATAACTAAAGAAACTTCAAAATGAGTTCATTGTTCACAGCAATATAAAAAATAATAGTTTAATAAATTATTCTGACTTGATGATTTATATGTAATATGATTTATAAGTATTTTCCTCTGAAGACCAACTGCATAATTTAATGTAAACTAGGCACTTATTTTTTAAATAACTTGATTTACGATTAAACAATTTTTCTATGGCTATTTTTGCTGTCAATTATCATAGAATCATAATTTAGTTTCTAAATAAAAGATAAATATTTAAAATTTACTGATTATATACTTTTCTGTCCTATATAGAGCGTTTGACGAAACTTTTTCTTAAAAACTTCCGAAATCTTGTCTTGACCAAAAAAATCTGGCAACGCTGTGTGATTTCTACATTTTGATGCCACGATTAGAAGGCGCGATAAATAGACCTTGGTGTAGCAATCTGCATCAATTTGCCGCACTTCTAAGCGAGTGAAATACCAGTATTTTAAATGAAAATCTTCATGACACGAACACAGATCCGAAGCGGCACAGATCGAAAAAATTCTCTACACATAATATCAACTTAATTACTTTAATTTAGTATTATTGCAATTACGAATTATCCCATTTAGTGGCCTTGGACTATGATGGATGTCAGTGTAGTCATATTACTAATAGTTTTGTAACAAGTTCAACCTTCACTTGCTAACTATTTTCATAGAACGAATTATCATCGGAATGAGGATTATTGTTGTAATGATTTCCATACATGTGTGTATTTGTTTAAAAATAATGAAACTTCATATTATCCGGTAGTGGATTTTTTGGTGAATTTTGCTTCTATAATTTGGTAACCACCCAATTAACGTTAGTTCCTAACGGCTAGTGGACGAATCATTAAAATACTTGAATTGTAGACAAAAAAAAACTTTCATTCTTTCACCAAGACTTGAACCCGAATCATATCGTATCAATTTCCGGCATTTACCCACACGCCACTTGGTAAAAATTTTATATTATAATTTATTCATATTAGTAGTAACGATTATTATATTAACTCGACTATTTCGACTATTCTCAACTCTTGGCAATAGGTTCGCAGAATAAAACGTTTGTCTAGTGAATTAAATGATTTTTCAAATAATTTTATTATATACAAAACTTCCTACTGATCAATGTGTTTTTCAAACAATGACATTTAAATAACTACTAAGGATTTGGCCTTCTATCATTCAATGAAAACAACACCACGTCGTCATCCACATTTGACAACTCAAAAAATAAAACGTCATGACAAGATAAATGTACTTAGTTTGCTTTATATGGCATTGAAAAGCTGGTTAGGTAACAGGAAAATTACGAAATTAGATAGTCACGATACTGTCTGAATAACGGTTTATATTTCTGATTGATTATTTCAAATGTGTATGCGGGTAGGTATTAAATGTTATTAGATAAATTAGAAAAGGATTATTATATACCTACAAAATATCCACACGTGTATGGAAATACACGTGTATTCAAACTTGAATAAATATATTTTAGGGAGAATCTGATATCTACTGATACACAAAACAAAGAAATTTTCAGTTTCTATTCATGTTGATAGTCTTTTCAAAAGTTTTGGTGAACCTAAATTTGTTTGCTCTAACTGAAAGAGATTGAATCAATGTTTGTATTACTGAAGAGCACATTAATTTCGATTACTATAATTATAATAATAATAGATATATTTCCTCAAAAATGTTGAATTAGAACTGAAAAAATAGAAAAATATGAACCAATAATAAATACCTACCCAGAGTAATACAAAATGCAATTAAAAATAAATCTATCCATTACTTCTTTGATCATAGAAACAATTATAATATTGTTGATGTTATAATATTATAACATCATTCAAACTTTTGCTGCAGGTATTCGTCAATTACATCAGGGCCGATAATTTTGAAAATGGTAAAAAGTGAAAAATAATAATATATATTATTTTTAATAAAATAATAAATATTATTTTCAATAATAGATATTATTATATTATTAAATTATATATATATATATATATAATAATAGTAGGATGAAACCCGTTGAAAAAGGACTAGAATTTAACAAAAATGAAAGGAAAAATAATTTACAGGTGGTCTGAGGTCGGAAAGTGGAAGGGGGTGAGTCAAATGGAAAAAACTAAAAGGCAAAGTTGTAGGTAATAAAGAGACCTACAACTTTTGTAATCACACTTTTTTCACATAACCTCAAAATTTTATGAAAAATTCAAATAATCAAGATTTTGGTTTTTATTTTAATCTTATGCAAAAATATGTTTTTTCACAAAATTTGGTGAAAATTTACCTTTACATGTCCTAAAGAAATTGTAAGATTTTTGATTTGAAATATTAATTTTTTCACCTTTTTTTGAGTTAATATCGAAAAAATTCCCTTATTTTCAATCGAAATTTCTCGCTTTCAAAATATCAGCATTTTAAAAAAAGTCAGGGGGTCTTTTGGTTCGTTGAAATCTCTTCTTTCTGATAATGTAAAAAAATATATACATTACTATGGTAAATGTTCTCAGAAAATGCAAAGAAAGAACTCGAATCCGAATTTTTTTTTAATCACTATGTACAATTTTGAGCTTTTTAGTAAAATTTACACTTTAATTACTTGAAAAACGTGAGATTCTATGTTACATTGATAAACAAAAAATTAAAAATCCATAAATCATAAAGATGGCAAGAAATATAGGATTTAAAGGGGTGGAAAATTTCGGATTCGAGATTTTTCTTTTCTTTGCATTTTCTGAGAACATTTACCATAGTAATGTATATATTTTTTACATTATCAGAAAGAAGAGATTTCAACGAACAAAAAACTCTCCGATTTTTTTCAAAAAGCTGATATTTTAACGCGAAAATTTTCGATTGAAGATTAGGGTGTTTTTTCGATATTAAGTCAAAATAAGGTGAAAAAATGAATATTTGAAATCAAAAAAATTACAGTATCTTTAGAACATAGAAAGGTAAGTTTTCACCAAATTTTGTGAAAAATTTTTTTGCATAAGAATAAAATAAAAAATCAAAAACTTGATTAACTATTTGAATTTTTCACATAAATTTTGAGGTTATGTAAAAAAAGTGTAATAACAAAAGTTGTAGGTCTCTTTATTACGTACAACTTTGTCATTTAATTTTTTTCCATAGGACTTGTTGTTTTGCCTGAAATCAGGTACATTGTGTTTTACCCTTAAAAACTCACCCCCTTCCACTTCCCGACCACAGATCGCCCGTAAATTATTTTTCCTTTCATTTTTGTTATATTCTCGTCCTTTTTTAACGGGTTTCATCCTACTATTATTTTTTTTTTTGGTTTAAAATATTATCGACCCTGGTGTAAATTGAATACGGTTCGATCTCAAT